TCCCAGCCACCTGCCCAGAGCTCCACAGCAGACCCCAGCCCAGCCTGACTCCACTTCCCAGCCAGATTGCCTCATCAAAGCTACCTCCAGCTGCAGCAGCACGCACTTACTCCTGCTCGTTCTGCCGCTGTGATTTCCAAAGGAAGAGCAGCCCGGTCACCCAGAGCAGAAACATATTAAAAATCTGCAGCTCAGTCAATGAGAACAGATAATGAACCTCAGCCACCAAGATGTGGCCTGTTGGAGCACTGCTTTAAAACTGGGGGAGGGCAGCAAGCTGAAGGTGCATTTTAGAACCAAAAGACTAGAGGAAACATGGTGAACTCACAGGCAAACGAATGAACAGTTTGGTTATGAGCAGATTTGTGTCTGGCTTGAAATACGGACAGGGAGGAAAAGACAAGCACACACAGCTGTCTTTGCTTCAGAGCGAGCCATACCCAGTGAATGCTCCTCAAACCAACGTCAAGATGCTGACTTCTCATGGACTTTGTTATTTGTACACAACGGTTCGCTTATTGCTCCCAATGCACTTGTGCCTGTATCGTTTAAACAAAAGGAGGTGCAAAGGAAATTATAAAGCCACAGGTGACAAGGCTAAGGAAAAGAACACTTAGCACTTAGAGCAGCTTCATTTTCAAGGCAGATTAATTAACCTTTACCCTCACAACACAAACACACTTATTTCAACGTTACAGGGCAAGACTAGGGAACCAAAAGGCAAACGGCCCTGCTTGCCACAGAGGCCGCCGGTTCCGCGCCCTCAGAGCGGGACCACGAACCCTGAGCACCCGCAGCAGCTCGGGGGGCTGTGAGAAGGGGATATTGTGTGAGAAGGGATTTTCCCTAGCTGGCCGCAACTGGAGCGTGGACTCTCAGGCTAGGGTCTGGCGATATTTATAGAGTTTCGAGCACTTACTTAGTTTGCCCCCACAAGCAGAGCGGCCCCAGACCCGCAGTGTCCCGTCCAGCCCGGCCCCACTGCACCCCACACCACCCCGGGGCAGGGGCACAGGCCCGGCCCAACCCCGCACTCCTCAGCTGCC